CAAAGGCAGAGCTGGTGTTTACTGATCATGTTACAATGAATAACAGGAAGGGGAGAGCTGTTTACAGCCTAATAACCATCCCACCCTGGTGTTTTAAGGCCTAATAAAACCATCATTAAAAAAATGAGGAAAGTCTGCAATGTGAGCCATGAAAATGTGCACTTGTATACATCATCACTGCACCTCTTCATTACCACGGTAAATGCAAATCACTTACAAAGGTGGAAATGGACTTTAAATCTGAATTTGATCTCTCTCCTAGATTTAATGTATATACATTTAATGACAAAATTAAACTGTGAATAAAATAACAATACAGCTTTTAATAAATATTATTTATTTACAGGAAATACCAGTAAAGGTTTAACCAAAAGGAGGTGGATTGATAAACCTGTTTTCTCAAGTGACTGTAAGTTATTTCTTCTGTATGTTGATCATTAAATTCATACTTTGTAATTTCCTAATTTTGACTAAGTACTATGTCACTGTGCCCTGCTCTATATAGGGTCTTATTTATTTTTCTTGTCCAGAACTAAGAGTATACACAGTGGGACACACTGCTGATCTCAGCTACTAATGAAACATAGCAGTATCACCCTACTTTATTGTTCAGATGTTTCCCTTGCTCTTTGCAGTGTTTATAGTTTTTACATATAAATTCTACTGAGACACGATTTACAATTGTTTGTTCATATACTCTCAGCAGAGGGCACTCTTCCACAGCATAATCTTGTATAGCTACTTACAAGGCTTTTTAGTGAGTTCAGTTTGCAGTTTATAGGGTCATCTATATAAATGTTATCTACAACACCTAATATTTAAGTACCCTGCATTGATTCCTTTTTATTGAACTATAATACTAATGGCGATAATTAAGAAGCCATTATGTGCAATAGCCTCATTATTTTTGTGGGGCCTCCTGTATGAGGTTAGTCAGCTATTAGAATGATACAACACATATGTTATTTCTCTATGCATCACTAGATGAGTTCATTATAAGTCCATTACACTAGAAATGTGCATGCTTCATAAAGTATGAATATGAAAAGGGAAACTTTCCGTGTGGATGCCCGCTAGGGGGCGCGCGCGAGCAGAAAAAAATTGCCGTCTGAAGACGGCAACCCGCAAATGCAGCAGTGCCGTCCGTCAGTTTTTTTACTACGGGCGGACGGCAAGAGGTTAAAGGAAGCATGGATTTTATATTTGAGAAACTGAATGCTAGGGATGCTATCACGTACCTGGTGGGGAGCCGAGTTGTGGGGAGGCCTCCTTTGCAGCACGAGTTCCACACCCCTGAATGTGGAGACAGGAGGTGGGGAAACTACGGGCAGCACCGGTGCCGGATGATGCAGGACTCTGGGCCTGGGCAGGTCCTTGAGGCTCGTCTTCAGCAATGCAGGAAGCAGGTAGAGGTGAAGAAATCACGTCCAGACTAAGATACTCCTGGTGACCCAAGGAGGTCGAGGTAAGCAAGGGAAGGGTCTCCTGGGTAATTGGACCTGAGTTTGGATGCGACCCATCCGCCAGCTGGATAACAAGAAGCTGTGACTTGGCCCGTAGAGGAATTTGATGCTGAAGGGCGAAAGAGTAGTCCATGAAGCAGCTGCATGCACCTGAGTCAATAATGGCCGTCACCTTGGATAAGTTCTGAGTCAATAATGGCCGCCTCCGGCAAATGTGGTGAACAGGCCTATGCGCATGCGCGGTCGTGACTCTGCCGTTAGGCATGGTCTTACAGATGCACCGATATCAATATTAGTAACAGTGCTGATACCGAGTATTTAGCCAAATACTTGTACTCGCCCAAATGCTCCGAAACCTTCCCCACTACCTGAACTTCCAGTTAGAGGGAGATTTCCCTCTGACTGCCAGTGCCACGAGGGAGCATGGAGCCGGTTTCCCGACCAATCAGGAAGCCAGGAAGCGGGTTATGACCCGCCTTCCAGCTTTCTGATTGGCTAGGAAGCCGGCTTCACTTGTTGTTAGGCAGCCTTGCTTCCTGACCAATTAGGAAGCCGGGCGGCACGTCTTGACCCGCCGCCCAGCTTCCTGATTGGTCAGGAAGCAAGGCTGTCTCGCAGTGTTGATAGAGGTAAAGCCAGTGTTCTTTTGATAAAATACTTATGCCATGAACACAGGAGATCGTCTGTGGTTATGTACAAAAGACTTACAAGCTTGTACATAAGTAAAATGGGTGTATCATACACCTAATCTGTTTGTATTTGCCTTTATTCTCTTGTAAAGATGTAAATAGTTGTATGTTATTGGAAAGTGGGTTTGGTAAGAGGACAAAGAAAATTAGGCACATTAGAAAAAACACAATAACATGGGTGCATCCACATTCATTTCAGAGGCAGTGCATTGCATTGCATTTTTGAAACACCAAGGTCATTGCACCAAAAGTGCCGCATGTAGGGCCTTTTCCCAATTAACTGCAGTAAAGCACATTGCTGTAAATGATCCTTATGAATAGAAAATACTTTTGAGGTATTCAAATATTTAGAGTATGTTGGCAATCTCATCAACGTACATTGAAATGCACCCAGTGTGAACGAGCCCTAAAATGTCAATACCCAAAAGTGTTATTTTAGTTATAGGTGTAGCCTGGTAGGATATTTCTTATATGTCTGAGAATTAGAAAGTATTTTACAGAATGAGTAGTTGATTCTGGGAACAAACTTCCAGTAAAGGTAGTGAGTCAGTCAACATGAAGGTGACCCAAACATGGTTGGCACAAACATAGATCTAAACACAGGTAAAAAGGTTAAAAAAAAAAGGTACAGACTGGATGGAACATTTTTGCTGTCACTCTTCTGTATCTCTGCAGGGAGATCTGATTCTGTTGCTGTCCGCCTGGGAGTTTTGGTTTGTTTCCACCTGCCTTTGTCTGTCTCCACACCCCCTACAGCATTCTCTGTAATATAAAATAACTTGTAAATCCAACACTGCAATCCTCTTGTAATGGTCACAGCAGATGTACAGCCTGAGGGCTGCAAGAGACAAAAACGCTTGAATCAATCATCCATGCTAAACAGTGAATGGCGAAATCTCCCTTGCTGGACATTGTATTCTGACAGCTGGCACCTGTGGCTGTCAGAACACCCGAACAGTGACTGCAGCTTATTGGCTACAATCACTGTTTGGCCAACATTTTGTTGCTCAGCTCTTTTAAATTTTCAGTTAAAGTTTTTTGAAGCGGGTGGTGCCAGCAGAGCCACCTATGTTTCGAATCTCACAGGAGTTTGGCTGAATTCACAGGAGTTTGGCTGAAATTCTAACAGTGTATTCTGAAATTCCACTTGTGCTGAGAAAAAATCAATCCCCTTTGGGTGATCAATGTACTGTATATTGCAAAGATTTTAACAAACTTTGTTTCTATTCTGAAGAATTGGCTGTTTGTTGCAGCATGTCCTTTCCAAACTGATCCCTGAATTGGAGTGTCTGGGTTCATTATAATCAGCTGGTGGGCTTCCTGTGTGGTATTGAGAAAAGTTAGTGTTGGCATCCCTTTAGATGTTATTAACCTTTAGGGAGTATCTCGCTATAAATTACATTTCTGTTGCAAGGGATACCAAAAATTGTACTTGTATCTCAGTGCAGACTGAGGAGGAAAATCAGTCGGCTAATTACAGTAGCAGGAAGTGACATTTCTGGGGGAGTTATGTATACCAATTATGTACAAAATGCCTCTAGGTCACCATATTGCATTTAACTTTTTTGCCTGTTTTAGAAAATTACAGTGGCTGCAGTTTTAAATGAAAAGGTCATTTTTAATAACATTAAATTACAAAATGACTCGTGCAACAATTATACTGTATATGCTATGTTCATTTTATATCATTATTTTCTATATATTCTTTTGATATATTATATAAATACAAGTGAAACTCGAATAATTAGAATATCGTGCAAAGTTCATTTATTTCACTAATGCAACTTAAAAGGTGAAACTAATATATGAGAGAGACTCATTACATGCAAAGCAAGATAATTCAAGCCGTGATTTGTCATAATTGTGATGATTATGGCTTACAGCTCATGAAAACCCCAAGAACCTCAAATCCACAACCTCAAAAAAGTAGATTATTACATGCAATCAATAAAACAAGGATTGTACATAGAACAATATCGGACCTCTGAAAAGTACAAGCATACATATGTACTCAGTACTTGGTTTGGGCCCCTTTTGCAGAACTTACTGCAATTACTTTTGCACAATATTCAAATTATTCGAGTTTCACCTGTAATTATAATACATATTTATTTTTTTTATCTTTACTTTTTTGACACCGGAAAGTTTTGGACAACCAGGATTTAGCATATATTTTGCTTAAACTGTGATTGGCTTTGATACTGCAGCAGTCTCCCCACTGCATAGCAATACCCAATTATCTATAGCTAACTTGTGCAAAGTGTTAGTGCTCTGTCAATACTATCGCTTTGCAAATTACTATTAAATAAAGCTTATAATGTCACACAACAAACTGCTTTTTCCTGTACTTTATAATTTTCCTTCTTTGTTTTTATTTTACAATCCACAGAAGTGATCAAAAAGTAACTTAAAAATGTGTAATCCATTGTTCACAGTGTTAAAGGTAATAAATGATCTATAATCCCAGCTGTAGATGATGCAAATGCATTTTGTACTATAAAGAATTGAAAACTTTTTTATTTCATAATATCATTCAATAATAAAAAGTTCAGTTTTTACGTACTTTCTGATGGCCTTGTTATATTAGGTTTTCTTTTAGATCTCAGAAGTAGTATAGTATATTTAATATAGTATATATGCCTTTAATAGAGAGAAGAAATGACTTTATGACAGAAGATCATGACTTTGACTCCCATATTCATTGAAACATTAGTATTATTATTATTATTATATGATTTCACTGTAAATGCCTTTTCTTAGCTGTCATTGAATCTTTTCAAAGCATTCATAACTACTGCAAATGCATCACTGTTCTGTACATTCTTTTATATTCCCATTGCTGTTTCAGGGATTGACACATCGATCAGTTCTATACAGATTGTAGAGAATCAGCAAATAATCGATCATCACTACTGCAAAAAAAACCTGCAGTGTGGGTAAGAGAAAAACTGGAACATCTATAAGCTGGAGATAGCTAAATATTGCAGTTCATTTGTGAAAGTCAATTGACAGCAAAGGGAGCTATTATACTATTATAATTGTTGACTATTACATAGCATAGCAGTTAAAAACCTGTGCATTTCTGATGATAATGGGGATACGTGTGGTTAACAAACAAAAAGCCACAATGGTAAATGCCCTGTTACCAACAGGGAAGATGCACAAAACATTGCCCAAGTATCATATACAAAATGTTGCGCTGTAAGGCAGAAAAAAATTGAAATAAATTCTGCTCGTAATCTTTAAATGGATATCTCACTTTGTATACATTTGTCAAATTTCAAGGCCTCCTCTGTACAGCATTAACCTTGCTCTAATCTATGGGATTAGTTCAGAGCAAGTTTATCTGGACCATAACCACATCCCTCCCTAAAGTTGCAATGACATATGAAGACCAGAGTTGCTCAAGGCAGCCACAGGCCTTATGTGAGCATGCACTCAATACAGCAAAACCACTGCATGGTAAGTGTTCAATGCGAGGGAGCATAACCTATATAGTAATTTAATCTCAAAGGTTTTTGGTAGGTATGCACCGATACTGGTTTTTCGGTATTGAGTATGAATATTTATATTTTGGTACTCGCCGATACGGAGTATTGATCCCGGTACTTTCGCAGGCATGGAGCCTACTTCCCGGCCAATCAGGAAGGCCGCCACCCGGCTTCTTGCTTGGCCAAACACTGGGTCTCGGTGCATCCCTAGTTTTTGGTAAAGATGTAATACTCCCTATATCAAAAGGGGTAGCATTTTTCGTCATTGTACAATTTTCTAAACAAGAAGCTATTCAAACGTAAAACAGTTCTGCTATAATGATGTGATTTGTTTTGGAAAATTGGTTTCTTATATGTCTTTCTGTTTCAGGTCTGGAGTTTACACCTATGTCATTCCAGTGAGCAAGTATACTCCAACTAATATGCGCATTACTTTAGAGATTAAGTAAGTTAAATCACACAAAGCATTATGTAGTAATCTCTCTTAAATAAGACCTAAACTGAAAAAAAGTCTGAAGCTTCCTCTTGAGTTTACCATTACAAAATAGACCCCAACCTTCATCCTGGAGCAGGGTGACCCTAAGTCATTGGTGAATGCTGCCTTTCTCTTCTGTCTGATAGTCACAGTAAGACAGGCTCTGCGTGGGCTGAGGGCTCTGATTAGTTGCCTCAGAACTTCTTGTAACTAAATGGTCACATAACAATCTTGCCATAATTTGTAGAAAAAGTTCAACCCTTTACCTGATAAAAAACACATATTTCTGTGAAATAAGAAATGTGCACTACTTTAAAGTTTTGTTCCATTGCATTGCTGTTTTCAGCTAAGTGGGTTTGAACCAGGAATAAAATGCCTAGCTCCCATGAAGCAATACAGCAATTTACATTTTCAGTGCTTTACTATTTATAAGCTGCTCTATTGATCATAATCATGTAGTAGATAGGGTGGCAACATACAGGTAATTGTCATGGGTATCAGGTTACTGGTTGCCAATTAGCATCTGCAAGCCGTATAGTGCTTTGTGATAAGATGTGACCTAATTCCACTTTAAAGTCAAACACTTTTGTTGAGAAAAAATGTTCTTCGGATCAGAGATATACTATGCAAGAATTATAGCAAAGCTAAATAATTACCTGCGCTTGTTCTTTGGATTTGCCTTCCAGCAAGATAATGACCCCAAGGATAAAGCCAAAACTATAGAAGAATGGCTTAAAAACAACAATGCTAGTCTGCTGGAATAGCCAAGTTAAAAATCCACATCTCAATCCAGTAAAGAATATGTGGCTGTTTACTCCCCAACTGAACAGAGCTTGAGCAGCTTTGCCAAGAGGAGTGGAGAAAACATGCAATATCCAGGAGTGCAAAGCTGACAGAGACCTCTCCACACAGACTGAAGGCGTTAATTGCTGCCAAAGTTACCGTGGGTGTCTCTGTCAGCACTCTTTCGCCCGGCATCCCTCAATCAACTGATCGAACGAGCCAGCTGGAACATTATCTGTGAATGGAGCTTGTAGACAATCGGCTCCCAACTCTGTACGGGCATTCTGGAAACAGCAGCAATGCTCGTAAGCTTTGATGGAGGAATCTGTTATATTTTTTGTTCACATTGCGGTTTGAACTAAAAAAATAGTACCATGTATACCCCACTTCAGATTCTGGTGTATTTGGTTGTTTGACAGTTTAAATAAAGGTGTAATGGTTGCCTGTTCAAATATGTTGGAATACTATAGGGTACACTTACTTTTTTCACATGACTGTATAAAACCAGGGAGAAGGAAAGGTGGGTGTTTCTATCCTATGTAAGCATAGTCTATCTAATACATTTAACAATAAAACATAATTTTGTAACTGGATTGACATCAGTTAAGTTCAAATGAAAAGCCTCCAACAACTGGGTTTACTATATTTTCTTTCCTTAATAGATCTTAGCATCCTTAAGCACCCAGGAACCCTAGTACTGTATCTTAAAAACCTTTAAAGTGAAACCCCTCCCAAGCATATCATGTCCCCACAAGTTGTATCACTGCCCCTTTCCCCAATGTCATCACATACAATGTAGGGCCAATGATGTATATGAGATGACATAGACAACCTGCCCACATACTGATGCAGGAGAGAAAAGGATTGGAGAGGTAAAATAGAGTGTCATTATCATTTGCCTTTGTGCATCGTTTTGTAGTTCTAACAGTACGGGTACTCCTAGAATGAGATCCTAATAGGTTGGACTTGATGGACTAATGTCTTTATTCAACCTCAAATACTATGTAACTATGTAACAGCCCTCAGACAATTTTGTTTCTATACATTTGTCTCAAATGTTTTCCATAAATGCAAACATTTCAAATAGTGGAATTTATATGGAGCAGGATGATAAACATACAATCTCAGTGCATCCACGGCACAACACTTTAATCCCCTTGAGCTTTTAAGGCCATGCTGCAAGTTCAACAAATCAACTCGCTACCATTACTACTTGTTGATATATGTGCATTGTATATTTTTGTCTGAAAACCATAGCAACAGCTGACCCCGCTCTGTCATTTTACGTGGCCTACCACTTTGTGGCTGAGTTGCTGTTGTTCCCAGTTGCTTCCACTTTGTTATAATACCACTAACAGTTGACCGGAATATTTAGTAGCAAGGACATTTCACGGATGGACTTATTGCACAGGTGGCGACCTATCACGGTACCACGCTTAAATTCACTGAGCTCCTGCGAGCAACCCATTCTTTCACAAACCCATTATTTCACAAACATTTGTAGAAGCAGTCTGCATGCCTACATGCTTGATTTTATACACCTGTGGCCATGGAGGTGATTGGAACACCTGAATCCAATTATTTAGAGGGGTGTCCCAATAGTTTTGGCAATATAGTGTGTGTGTGTGTGTGTGTGTATATATATATATATTTATATA